AAAAAAACAAAAAAAAAAAACTCTGAAAAAAATATATGTTATGAAGAAAAATAAATTAAACAAGATTTGCTTGAGCATAACATCCAAGTTCCTTACCAAATTTGAAATAAAAATAAAATACGAAAAATAAATACTAATAACAAAAATAACAAAAAATAAAAAAAGAATTAAATTTTGTGAGTGCTCGAGCATGTTTTCGACACAGCCATGTTTGGTGACTTTTCATTTGTTTTTGGCATAGCTAAATGCCCTGAAAATTTACAAATGTATACTTTACATAATGCAAAATGCACTAAAAAAGTTTCAAAAAATAATAAAATTATTTAGACCCCGAACTAAAGTGAAAACAAAAAGTAAAAAATGAAAAACAGCAAGGGCGAGCACGTTTTGACACCGCCACCTTTGGCGATTTTTAATTATTATTTGGCTAAGCGAAATGACTTGAAAATTTATAGGCATGTTCCTGATGTCATAGGGACAGGGCCAGTGTTTGCTGTTCATTTTGATATACCGTGTTTACTCGATTCTTTGGCGACGCTGCAGCGATTCGAACTCGCGACCGGGGTTAACTTTCAGACTTCGTAGGACCCTGCCAGACCCAGGTTGTCCAATCAGTGGCCTGTCGGGAATAGTCCTTGTCCTTTATTCGCTGATATCATTGCCGTCTGACGACACTTTTTGAGCTGGGTGTGTTTCGTAGGATTTGAACCTGTTAGTTGTGCCCGGTCCACTTGGTTTCTTGTTTCTACTGTTTTTCACTAGTAGTCTATATAACTAATGATTGATACATTTTAGGTCTTTTGGGTTCGACGTTTTGTCGACCTGTCAGGCATTTCCGGAGATGTCGCAGATAGATAACGGAGGTGGTATGTGGAACCGCGATACTAAGACTGATTAAGGGTCGAGGAATGGTGGAAGTTCCCCCTGAAGAGGACCGCGTGGCGGCGGTCGAAACCGGTCGGGGTAGCCATACCCACCGGCGTTTTCAATCATTTGGCGTGTTTTGCAGTACACATACTCTCATGTATGATGATTGCATCTACTTTCTCTTTTAAAATCTCACTTTCGTCAACATCTTTGACGGCCCATGTAAACCGGCTCGGAAATCGCCGAGTACGAGTGAGCATGCTAAAGCTTTCACACTTTGTTACTTTGTTACTTTGACTCTTCGACATCTTTGACGTTTTGACTACGACACGCCGTACGGAAACGTGATTGCTAGGCAACCCGACGCCGACGACCATCTGCCGTTGAGGCGCAACGCATCTGCACGAGTGGAGGGAAGTTGACATCAGAAGAGATGTCGGGATCCAGCTATCGGGATAATCGTGATTACCGCCGGAGTTCGGAACGCGATCGTACCTATGATGATGGAAGATACGGAGGCCGCGATGCCGCACGCGAGAGAGGCCGTGATGGGCGACGCGATCGCTATCCTAAAGATGAGCGGAGCACGGGTTATCGTGAGGGAGGGAGGCGTCCGCAGGGTACGTGTTTTGAGTGCGGGGAGCCAGGTCATTACCGCAATCAATGTCCTATGTTGATTGGAGAATCCAGTACTCAACGAGGTCGATCGGCCTCACCAGGGTACAAGGCAAGAGGAGTCGTGAAGCGTCCCTCGTCTGAGGAACGTGCTCTCCGTAAGCAGCTGGAGGATTTGACCTCCACTATGGCCAGCATGAAGAGCTTCATTGACGCCGAACAAACACGTAAGGACAAGGAGGAAAGACAGAGGAAGGAGTCCGAGAAGCGTGAACAAGAGGAAGCTGAACAACTTCAACGGGAGACCAAGGAGCAACTGGCGCGTGAACGACGAGCATGCAAGAAAGAAGACAAGAAGAAGAAAGAAGTTGAAGACCGAGCAGCCCTGCGCAAGGAGTTGCGCATGGATATGAGACTCCATATGGGAGCGATGTGTGAAGGCGTTCACGATCACATCATACAGACGATGTTATCGGAAGGAAAGAAAGGGAAAGCGAAGACCACTGAGTATTACTAAGATTACTCGGACTGAGACTCGGATGATAGCGAAGTCCACGCTCTCAGGGAACAAACCGAGTAACTCATTATCAACGAGAAAAGGAAGCGGGGTGAGGAAGAATGTGTGGGGGATAGTCCCCCTGTTGCTACACCTACTAAGCGCTCAATATGGACGAACTGAAGACGATCTGTAGAATGGAGGACGTAGCCTTCGAAGGCAAGAAGATGGACATCATCTTAGCCATTACCGAGAAGCGAGCCCACGTGGCTTATGGGACCGATGCGGAAAGCGACGACAAGACTACATCCGAAGTACTGGCACAGGAGAACTTACCTGAGGGCAACTCTGACGAGGACAAGGGGAGTGAACTTTGAACAAGCAGCCAATACTGGAGATTATGACGAGCCCTAGTCATCGAACGGAAGAATGGTACTTACGATGAAGCACTGGAGATTGTTTATCGTTTCGTAATCTTGATCTTAGAACTTGACGATCAGATTAGATGGCTCAAGAAATTGCGTTGCCACTTGGTTGAGACTCTATCAGCAGCACGGTATTCGTGCTTTTTATGGCCTTACTGGTGGGGTTTACCTACTTACCTCTCCTATCTGTCGGGCACAGTACGTAGGTCAGACCGGTAGATGTGTGATTAGAAGGTGGAAGGAGCATGTTCAAATTGTAGGAGGGGTAGTCGACAGACACACCTTTATCACTGGTGGCAGGTTTTTGGACCAGAATCGTACGTTCTACTGCCCTTGGAAGACTGTGGGGGTTCCGTACATGAACTACAATCTTTGGAACAGTTGTACATCCGGTGCTGGAACCCTGTCCTAAATACATCTAGTAAGACTCAAAGGGGAACCCGTAAGAAGCAACGATCGGGAAAACGCGAGCGGCAACGTCGAGCACCCACACTCGGCAATGACGACCAGGCTGCAGCTTTGAATCCAGTGCGTGCGAAGCTGACTGATAGTGCGGTCTAGAGTGTTGACATCTACAAGCTGTTGGAGGCCCAGGAACAAGTCCACCACCTGAAGTTTAAGCTAAACGCAAGAGAAGGCAACTGCTGGTGCGGAGGCTGGAAATCCGTTAAGAAGACCTTCGGGAATTCCGACGTACGTGTCGCAGGGCAGCGTGTTAAGCTGTACGCATGTCGCAATGTTTTCGAAGCTGGACGTGATCTTGAGATCCTCCACCTGAAGTGGAGACCGAAGGTCGGCCCAGACAAGCGTTTCTTGCGTAATTTGTTTCGTAATTCGGATCCCGGCTGAAGTTCGATGATAGGATACGATTAGTCGAGATGAGGAAGTTAGTTAATGACGTGATCGAGAAGTTATCCATTCCTGGATGTTTGAAGGACCACGCACGTACTACTGTTAGGATAGTATGGATTAAAAACCCATCTGTCGCTAGCATGTTGCACAACCAGCGTCGTTATGCGAAAGTTGGTGTGCTTACCTGCTCATGTGCAGGTTTACCCTACCCAGGTGTAGGTGATCACGTGTCGTTTCGTCTTCAGAACCTGGATGGGATTCATCCTCTGATTTGCAACACACACAACATTCCGAAGTTGTCTTTGCAGGATCGATCTTCACTTCTGACTCAGGAGATCTCGGAAGGTATCCGAAGTTGGGTTAACTACAGAGGCGTGAAGCCTATTGTTACTAAGGCTGTTGCGGATGGTTACCTACTGAACTCGACTGATGACGATGATCGAAAGTTGTTGGACCCCAAGGTGGTCCGCCGCTTGCAAGAAACCTTGGAAGGGCTCGTACTGACGCCCTTGGATAGGAACCCAGGGGAAACCCTGGTTCTATGCCCGCAAATCTATTTTGAGGGAATGATGAGTATGTTTGTGATGTCACCTGGTTACTCTATTGTCCAATGTAAGGAAGATGAGCTACTGATCAAGATGAAGGAGGGCGCGAGGGATGCGCAACTTCTGCAGTTCATACGGTGGGACACGAAGGGAAAGATTGACGAGTCGTATATACTACCGAAGCATAAGGACTTGTCTCGCTACCGGTCGATCTGCCCTACGTTCTCGGAGCCCACTGTACGCACTTGCAAAGCCCTTTCCAAGGGTCTTAACCACCTACTTTCTTCACTGCCGATTGATTGGCATTTTAATCTTCGATCAGTTTCCCATTTAGTGTCGCGGCTGGAGCGCGCCAACAAGATCATTGGAAGGAAGCTACGGAGCAATGATGCAATCATATCCATGCCATATGACATTAAGGATATGTTTAGCAAACTGCCATATGCTGACATCATTGCGGCTGTGGATTGGGTTGTGGACTATCACATAAGTAAAGGGCGACCACAGGTGAGAGTGAATACACGTGGAAGAGGATTCATATTTGGACAAACTACATGCGACGAACACTGGAGATTACTTGATCTGGATTTGATCAAGCGCTTCATCCGATGGGAGCTGCAACAGACCTACACCAAGGCAACTGGTGTGCTGTTGAAACAGGTGGTAGGCATTCCGATGGGAAAAAGCACTAGCCCACCGTTAGCATGCCTGATGTGCGTTTTTTCGGAGTCTCACTTCCTTAGCGAACTGGGTACTTTGAAGAAGAACGTTTTCGGCATCAGGCTGATGGATGACGCCAGCCTCGTGATCTTTGAAGGAGGAAGGAAGGCAGTACCTATCAACAGGATCCGTGAGAGTTTCGAGTCATGCTACCCCAGGAATTTGTCTTTGAAGCGCACCGACAACGGAAGTGGCCAATGGGATTTTTTGGGTACCGTTATGAGTACTGATGTTGTTTACCCTTTATCTGCGTTGTGTTCAGTACTCTCGCAATGAGGCCTCGATGTCGGAATCAGACGAGTTGGTGATCAAGAGCGGCCAATCCTACCGATCCTGGTGTGCCAAGGAGCAGAAGAGTGCCGTAGTAGCAAGTTGCCTCCACGTGATAGACAGGAATACCAGCGATCGCAATGCGATCCCGGCCAAAGTCCTTAGTCTGCAACGAGAACTAAGGATCAAGGATTTTCCACATTCGTTCCTACAACGGGTTCTGAAGCGATTCGTGAAAGGACGTGACGAGATCTGGACATGGACTTACCATTGGTTGTAAGGGGATGATCCGTCTTTTTAGTCCATTCGTCTTCCCGTCACTATGTTTGGTCTTTCGTAGACGCATTTGATTATGTTTGCTACCTACAGCTTCACTTCCGATAGGGACTGTGGACTACAGGGTTGGTGACCGGCGTTGAGTTGCTGCCTTTACTGTATGATGACTCAAGGATAGGGACAGGGAAGGACGTTGTTTTCAACTTTCTATGATTTGATTTGATTAGTATTTGATTTGACTGGATTTGATTTGATTTGATGGGATTTGATTTGATTTGATTGGTTTCGCAGTTGCATCCTCCATTTTTCCTGGGGGGATAGGGACAGGGCCAGTATTTGCTGTTCGTTTATACCGTGTTTACTCGATTCTTCGGCGACGCTGTAGCGATTCGAACTCGCGACCGGGGTTAACTTTCAGACACCTTGAGTTCATAGCACCCTACCAGACCCAGGTTGTCCGATCAGTGGCCTCTCGGGAACTGTCCTTGTCCTTTACTCGCTGATATCATTGCCTTCTGACGACACTTTTTGAGTTGGGTGTGTTTCGTAGGATTTGAACCTGTTAGCTGTGCCCGGTCCACTTGGTTTCTTGTTTCTATTGTTTTTCACTAGTAGTCTAGCATTAGGAACCTATATAACTAATGATTGATACGTTTGAGGTCTTTTGGGTCCGACGTTTTGTCGACCTGTAAGGCATTTCAGGAGATGCTGCAGGTAGATAACGGAGGTGGTATGTCGAACCGCGGTACTGAGACTGATTAAGGGTCGAGGAATGGTGGAAGTTCCCCCTCAAGAGGACCGCGTGGCGGCGGTCGAAACCGGTCGGGGTAGCCATACCCACTGGCGTTTTCAATCATTTGGCGTGTTTTGCAGTACACATACTCTCATGTATGACGATTGCATCTACTTTCTCTTTTGAGATCTCACTTTCGTCAACGTCATAGAGAATTCACAAAAAAACCTTCAGAAAAAAAAAAGGTATTTTTAGGCCCCGAAATAATTTTTGGTGGGGGACGAACGCCGTCAGGTTCGGACCCCGTACGGGACCCCGAACGCCCGTACGTACGGAGGTCTACCCGGGGTCCTCCGTACGTAAGGGCTGGTGACCCTGTATATATATATA